TGCCCCACCTGGCGCTGTCCACCTGCCCCACCTGGCGCTGTCCACCTGCCCCACCTGGCGCTGTCCACCTGCCCCACCTGGCGCTGTCCACCTGCTCCACCTGGCGCTGTCCACCTGCCCCACCTGGTGCTGTCCACTCTGCCCCACCTGGTGCTGTTCACTCTGCCCCACCCGGCGCTGTCCACCTGCTCTACACGGTGCTGTCCACCCTGCCCCCAGGGCCCATCTCCCCTACCTTCACAGTGCTGTCTACCTGCCCCCAGGGCTCCTCCACTGAGATCCTCTGTCTGTTCTTGGCCTTGCACTTTTTTTTCTTCACTGGAGCTTCCCTCAGCCCCTGTGGGACCTACCCACCAAGGAACCCCAAAGCTCTGTCCTGGGCCCTGAGTGTGACCCCATTTCCCTCTCTCCTGAGCTCCATCTGACTCAGTGATTCTATTCTAGCCTCAGGCCGCTGGACATAGAGTTCATGAAACGCCTGAGCAAAGTGGTCAACATCGTCCCTGTCATTGCCAAGGCTGACACGCTGACCCTGGAGGAGAGGGTCTACTTCAAACAGCGGGTAGGACCCTGGCCTGGGGTCTGCCCCCAGCAGCTAGGTCAATTACTTTGTGTTCACCCCCTAGCCCTGGGGCCTTGGAGGGGTTCTCAGTAAACAGTTCCACCTGGTGGGGTTGCTTGAGGGCTTCGGACCACGTGACCTGGAGCTCCCTGCTTCCAGGAGTGCAGTGGACAGAGGAACCGTGTCCGTCCTGAGCAAGTGGCTACTCACCTTCCCTGACCCAGAGGCCATGTGGGGGGAGAGGGAACGCTGGGTAGGAGCTGGCCTGGCTGATTCTTCCAAGTGGGGTGCACATTGGAACCCCTGGAAGTTTTAGAGCTCAGGAGCCTCTATCTTGGGGTGGAGGGGTGGTCCTCAAATCTCACTCTGACGACCCAAGTCCTGTAGACCCTCTGTCCACAGGCCACGTGGCAGGCATCCCCACCAAGGGTACCTCTTGTTTAGTGCAGGCTGGTGCACCCTGGGTCAAGATGGGGAGGTGCAGTGAGAGATGGTTTTTAGGTGGTTTCTTGGGGTTGAGATGAGCTTGGGGGGCAGAGCAGGGGACCCAAAGGACAATGGCCAGGCCCCCAGGGCTGCGCTGGCAGCCACAGAACCTGCCTGGTGCTGCATGTGGCATGGCGGGCTTGCTGTCCATTGGGCATCTGGCGGGCAGTGACCTCCTGCAAGGGCAGTGCCCCATCTCCTCCTCACCCCCAGATCACAGCAGACCTGCTCTCCAACGGCATAGATGTGTACCCCCAGAAGGAGTTCGACGAGGACTCAGAGGACCGGCTGGTGAATGAGAAGTTCCGGGTGAGTGTCCCAGGCAGGGGCCCGCCTGTGCTCGCCTACCCCCCGTACCTCTCAAAGCTGTTCCTGGGGAGAGGTGTCAGGGGAGGGTCCCCAGGGCCCATCCAGGCAGCCACTTGGGGGACAGAGAGAGGACTGGGTTTGAGCCAGAGTATGTCACCTGGCTGGTGAGGGACATGGTCCCCATGAGTACCTGCCCCTCTCCTGCCAGGTCTCTGTCTTCAGACCCCTAGGCTAGGGTCACCTCTAGGAGCCCAGGGAATGGACTAGCCTCTCTCCATGTGAGTGACTGCCCTGCCCTGTCCCTTCCCAGGAGATGATTCCCTTTGCCGTGGTGGGCAGTGACCACGAGTACCAGGTCAACGGGAAGAGGATCCTGGGGAGGAAGACCAAGTGGGGCACCATTGAAGGTACTGGGGGGTCAGACCGGGCTCACAGGGGTTGCCCTGCTGCCCAAGCCCCACAGGCCCGGCCACCCCGGGACACCATCTTGTTTTGTTTTCTACCTTTTTGTTGTGATTTGAGTGAACATTTCCAGAGCTAATTGGTCTCCCATTCAGCCGTCCATACGCACATGTCCCCAATGTTAACTGCAGGCCCCACATTGCAGCAGCACATGTCCCACTCCCTCCCTGTCATTCCTGTCATTCCTGCTCCCACTCCTCCCTTCCTATCTCTTCCTGCCTTCTGAGTTCGCTCCGGACACGTGCCACCCTTTGCTCACCTGTGGTTGGTTACCTCCTTCGTGTTGTTTGTTGATTACCTTGTAGACCTGTCTAGTGTTTGGCTGGAAATTTGGGTGAGATTGATTCCAGGCACAGTCGTGGGGTCCCACCATGTCTATCAGGCTTATAAGCCTGGTCTTTTTATGGTTTTGAATCTGGTTTCATGTTTTTTCTCTCACTCTGTCCAGGAAGTTTCAGTTGTGGCCTCTTTCCGAGCGGTCAGCAGTGGGAGCTGGGCACCATTTAGTTCTGGTCTCAGGGTTGTGGAGACTGACGTTCTCCTGGTCCTCCTTAACAGTCTTCAGTGGATTCATACCACAAAGCCCACGGTGTTCTGTGGTTTCTGAGTGAGAAGGGTACATTCCTCACGGTGGCAACGTTGTTGCTTTTTTCTGTTCTAGGTGTCTGTTTCCTTTGACTTAAACTCCTCCCCTCCCCCAGCGTCCCCTGCTGCCCTTAGAACAGCTGCTGTTTGTTCTGTAGATAACTTTCAGGAGCACAAGGCTCAAGGGTAACAGACTATCTTTTTGTAGTTAAACTGTTACTTTGTAACGTCAGGGGTTAGTTTCCATTTGAGGTTTACAGAGTGTAACTCAGGGCCCTGGTGCCAGGCACTGCTCCCTCTCTGCAGCTCTAGTCTTGGGTGTCCACAGTCCTGCCTGCCCCAGCGACTGGGGAGGTGTTTCTGCTGTGCTTATTTAACAGACGGGGAAACAGTGAGGCACATGGCTTCCCAGGTGTCTGCCATCACTGGGGGACACCATGCTTTCACCCCAGGCTGCCCTTTGATGGGAATACAGGCGAGAGTGAGGGAGGGCCCTTGTCCACAGGCCAGCTGGGCGACCTTGATCTCGGTGTCTCTGAGCTAGAAGTTCTTCTCATAGCTCGGTGAGCTCCAGGAACACACAGCCCCCGGCCCGGAAGTTCCCCATTGGCTGGGTGGTCTGTCTGAGTCCTTCCTGTGGCTTCTGGGAACACAGATCAGGCCGACCTGGGGGAGCCTATGGGCTTGGTCCCAGACCACCCAATAAAGCAAGTATTGTGATAAAACCAGTTACACTTTTTTTTTGTTTCTCAGTTCACCCTCCATAGGCAATAATACCCTAAACCCAAGCCTAAGTCAATTCAAATCACAGCCACGCTGCAGGCAGGGTGGGGCTGCACCCCTCCACCCCAACCTGGGTTCAGGGGTACCCTCTTGGAGGCAGATGGCCAGGCCTTGCCTCCCCCAGAGCTGTGGTGGGTGTGAACGTCTGACCAGTCATGAGTGCTTTTGTCACTGCGCCACCAGAGCTCCTTTGAAACAGCTACTGCTCTCCGTCGGCTCAGCGAGTCTCAGACTTCTGAGACTGTGAATCTTCACGAGAGGGGACTGTCCATCTTCCTGTAGAGCGGCCAGTGGATTTGAACTGCTGACCTCCCAGCATAGCACATTGCACGACGCCACTTGAACAGTCCTTCACTGGCCCGCGTGGGTTATCCTGAGTCAGAGTTGACTCAGCAGCAGCTGGGTTCTTTGGTCCCTCCTCTGTCATTCCCTCTGTCCACAGAACTCTGTGTTTGGGTGGGCGAAGGTTAGGGTGGCAAGAGGCTGGTGGAGACCCAGCAGTGGACACACATCATAGACTTGCCTCTGCTGCCCCCTGGTGGCGAGGTCCAGGCAGCTGCGGGGACTCCCACGAGGCTGTTTCCTGATGCTTTTTAACATCTCTGCAGCCTCAGCGACCAGGGACCCCTGTTTCCTGGTCCTTGTTAATATCTCTTCAGCCTCAGCGATGAGGGACCCCCGTTTCCTGATCTTTGTTAACATCTCTGCAGCCTCAGTGACCAGGGACCGGCCACGTCGTGGCTCCAGGCGGAGCTGAGCATCTCACAAAGCTAGCCTCTCAGGTTCTAGGGAAGTTACAGCCACTTTATGGCTTGAAAGAGCCCTGGTGGTGTAGGCTGCACCCTGGGAGGTTGGTGGTCCACATCCACTAACTGCTCATCTGGAGAAAGGTGGGCAAGTCTTCTCAGGAAGATTTTCAGCCTCAGAATCCTGACGGAGGTTTACTGTGAGCCCAGCTCCACTTGACAGCAGTGAGAACTGTGCTCAGAGGAAGGTGCTAATGGGAAGGTTGGCAGTTCGAATCCACCAGCTGCACTGCGGGAGAAGTGAGGTGGTCTGCCTGGTGACGATACCGTCTCGGAAACGCAGGGAGGACAGCTGTGCTCTGTGCCACAGGGTCACTGGGAGTCAGAACCAGGCCTGCTTGTTCTTAATGCCTAGTCAGTTTCTGTCTTTCCCCTTTGCTTTTCCCACCCCCTTGGGAATGCCTGGTGGGGAAGAGTTGCCACAGTCATGCCGCTGAGTTCCCTCCCAGGCTCACTAATCCACAGCTAACGCTTCACTGCGCTTCCGAGGCCGTAAATCACTCGGGAGGAGATTGCCTATCTTTATCTCAAGGACCCCCCCCCCGTCAGATGGCCCTTTATCACCCCATTTCATAGGCGTGTAAATTGAGGGTCAGAGATACAAGAGTGATTTTCCGGGGAAGGAAGCATGACTATACGCTCAAAACCACCACCTTCAGGGCTCTGCTCCTTCTCACAGCTCTCACTGCCCTTCCAAGCTTGGGAGGGGGGGAAGAGGAGGGCGTGACTGGGAGTCCCCAGCCCCCCAAATACCAAACCCGCTGCTGTTGAGCCACCTGCAGCTCATGCCAACCCTCCCCAGGGCGTCTGAGGCTGCACGGCGTGGGAGGAGGACACTGTCAGTCTTGTGTGTGAGAGGTGGCTGACTGGTGGGTTCAAACCACTGACCTTTCTTTATGTTAGCATCCTGACCCTAATAAAGGAGGCAAGTAACTGAGCCCCAGGGCGGCCAGGCGAGGTGAAGCTGAGTGGCGGGGGCCTCTCAGCCACTCCCAGCTTCTGCCCTGCCTACCAGCACATGGGGCAAAAATCAGACCCTTACACTCTGAGGAAAATCCCCATTTAGCTGTAATACAGGCCCTCTGGACCGCGCAGCCAGACACAAGGGGGTTCAAATCCTGCTTCTGGCCTTAACCAACCCCAAGCCTACTGCTGCCGAGTTGATTCTGACCAGGCGCCTCTGTCACAGCTCGTAGGCTGGGGACCCTCATGGCCATCTTTCTCCTGATGAGCAGTGGGTGGACCCAATCCGCTGACCTCTCCGTGGGCAGCCCGACGTGTGAGGTGCTTCACCCACTGTGCTCCTGTGCTGTTGTGTGCCTGTGAATCGACTGTTGTGTGCTAGTAGTCAGCTGAGACTCAGCAGCCCTGGGACAACAGATCTGAGCCCTGTACTGTCCCTCGTCCCCCAGTCTCTGCCTTGCTCAGTCCCACAATTGTGGTCACTCTGGTCATTCTGTCTGGCTAAGGGTCTTCCTCTCTGATGACCTGTCTTCTCTGGCTCACGCCTCTTTCCAAGGGCTGACCTGTCCTGACGACATGCCCAAACTAGGTGAGACATATACTCTCAGCATCCTGGCGTCTGAGGGGCGCTCTGGCTGTGTACCTCCAGACAGGTCACCTTGTGCTTTTGACTGTCCATGGGCGATGCTGTACTCTTCACCATCACCAAGTTCAAAGGCATCCATTTATTTCTTTTCTGGTCCTGCTTTTTTTGTGTCCCACTTTCTGGTGCATATGAAGCAATTGAAAACATCCTTGCTCTTTAGTGCTTTAAAGAGGCTCTTGATGGCTGATTAGAAGCTGGGATTTGGAGGGGTTCCCCAGTCCTGTCTTCTTAAGCTTACAGAACAGGCTCAGCGCGCCTTGCAGGGGGCGTGGCTCTTGATTTCTACCTGGCTCAGGTGGCAGCCACCCCTTTGCTCCCCACCTCTCTGTGGCTGTTGTCCTGGTGACCTGCTTATTGCCTCCTCGGAAAGCGTGCTGCTCTGGGGTGACTGGGTTAACGCCTGTTCAGTGATGACCGGATGGAAGTGGTGGTGGGCACAGGCCTTTTGTGAAGCTTAGCACTGAGATGCCCTGAAGCTGCCCCCAGACACTCCTGGCTGAGGGGGTACCCCCTGCCTTGGCCTCCTGGGTTCCCCTCTCCTCCTTTACCCTGTGGAGCTGCTGTGCTGATGCTCCTGTTTCTCATCTCTGTCCTGTGTGTGTAGCTGTGCTGCGTGGGCCAGGCAGGCCCCCAGTACCTGTGTGTGAAGGTACCCTAACACCTGGGGCAGCCGTGCTCCAGGGAGCGGGGAGTGGCTGCAGGTTTCCTCTTCCCTCCCCAGCATCCCAGCTCCTGTGTCCACTGGTGACCCCTGTGGAGGGTGGGTGGTCCCCGCCCCTAGATCATGCTGGGTCCCCCCAGGAGCTACACGCTAACGCCTTGTCTTCCTCTACAGTTGAGAACACCACGCACTGTGAGTTCGCCTACCTGCGAGATCTCCTCATCAGGTGAGGGGCCGGTGTGGAGGTGGGAAAGGGGGGCTTTGCCCCTGAGATTCTGGGGGACCTGATGGGGGCCAGCACCCATGAGGTCATGTGGGGGTGGAGGGTGGGGGATGGGGCAGAAGAACCCTGATGGGGAGTTAGTTTCAGGCGTGTCCTGGTGGAAGATGGCATCCCAACCCCAGGCCAGTGGGCCTCAGTCCTCACCCTTCCTATATGCCTGGCTGGAAGAGACATGGCCTCCTGCCTGGAGGAGGCGGCTGAGGGAGGCATGGACCTGGCAACTAGTGGCCAGCCCCTTCCCTGTACCTGCAGCACCCTTGGTGCTGGCCTGGCTCTCCAGGCTAGACCAGGGACCCTCAGCTCTGACCACTCTCCAGCACACTGCCCTCCCAGCTATGCCCCTGGGTGGCCCCTAGAAGCCCCAAGTTCATGTGCAGTCAGACCCATGTCCTGGGAGAACCTGGAGTCCCTGAGGGAGGGAGGCACTGACCCACTGCCCGCCCTGCCCCAGGACGCACATGCAGAACATCAAGGACATCACGAGCAGCATCCACTTCGAAGCATACCGGGTCAAGCGTCTCAATGAGGGCAACAGCGCCATGGCCAACGGCGTGGGGGACAAGGAGCCGGATGCCCAGGAGATGTAGACACCCCCTCTGCCCCCGGGCTGCCATCCCCCCCAGGCCCGCCCACCCGCCCCACTTTCTTTTCTATGTTTTTCTCCACGTGTCCTCTCCATCGGCCCCACCCACGCTGCCCAGGAACAAGCTCACATGTCCCCTGTTACCTGTGCTCCTTCTTCGTCCAGGCCTGGAGCTCTGCTGGGTGGGCCTCAGCTGGGGGCCAGGGCCCCGGCCACTCCTGACCTGCTGGACTGCAGCCAGCATTGGACAGAGAGGATCCACTGACCCCAGCTCCGAGGGGCCGGGCGAGCCAGCCTCCCTCCTGGGCAGCCTGGGTGGGACTCCCCTTTTGTGGGTAGGAGGGGTCCCCGGCTTCCTTTACCGGGCCACACGCTCACCTCTCCTCTGAGTTGGGAGTAAACCCAGAAAGCCAGGGTTCCTCCCTCCCCTCTCCTGCTGGGCCTCAGTGAGAACTGGGACCCCACCTGACCCTGCTCCTAGAAGGAGGAGTTAACTCCACAAGAGGAAGCTGCCAATTGCCTAGACACGGGAGGGCTGTCTGCTGTCAGTGCAGCGACCCCACAAGCCTTTCCCGAAGCAGAAAGTGCCTTCAATTCCTGCCCCCACCAGCCAGCGGACTCTCCCCAGACCCTCGGAGAGAGGACAGGTGTCTTCATCTCTGCTACGTACACTCACATGTCATGGGGATGGGGGTGCCGCTGCACCGGGAGGTTCAGTTTATGAAGACAAAGGGGAAAGCCCCACCCCACCCCACCCCACCCCTACTTTTAGAAGGTCCAGCAAATGCACCTGGCATAGAAGCGGGGGAGGAGCACTGTAGGCACCAGCAGGGAGGTAACAGCCTAGTGAGTGTGGAAGAGAGTCTGTGTAGTTTCTGGTTAGACTCGAGATGGACCCCACCCCTGGGCAGCAACAGATGATTGAATGCTTGTCTGCTAATCAACAGATTGGGAGTTCAGGTCCATCCAGAGGGGCCTCGGAAGAAGGACCTGGCAATTTACTTTCCCAGACTCAAGCCACGAAACCCATGGAGCAGAGCTCTTTGGCACACAAGGGCCCCGCATGCCCCAGAGTCAGCAGCTGGCTTTGACCCAAGATGCTCTGGTTATGCGAATGTCCAGTCAGCTGCCTGAACACATAGCAGCCGCCAGTGTCACAGCGTGGCTGATGCCAGGATCTGCAGGAAGGCAGGAAGGCCGGGCGACCCTGGGGGACTTTTTGTCCCAAACACGCCTGGACCTTTTACACCTTGGAGGACACACTGGTGTAGCCCACACAGAGTTGTGTTGACATCACAAAGACTCTGCTTCTCTGATGGTTGGAATCTGCCGGCTGCTCCGACTGAGAAGGATGAAGTGTCTCCTCGGCAGTTTGTAGTCTCACAAGCCCTGCAAGGGGTCAGCAGTGAGTCAGAACTGACCCCTCAGAGCCAGTGAGGACGAGGTGGGGAGTGCGCGTGGGAGCTCCTAGGACCCCTGTGCTGCCAGACCCAGCAGGCCAGATTCCAGTCTGTTCTGAGAGGGGGGAGGGCTTGGCCTCAGCTCTGAGATTAGACACATGGAGACGCAGGCTTCCCAGGTGGTAGAGAGCAGGTGGAGGTGGGCCTGGGCTGCAGGTGTGTGCACATCCATCCTGTGCACTAACTCCACCTGCATTCCGTTTCCGACCCCTTCCACCTAAGCAGTAGGGCCCCTCATCACACTCTCTAGGGACCCCACTTACTTGCTGCATTGCCATGTTTTTGCCAAAAGCGCCATGATTCTGAAGGAAGTGCCCGAGCCCAGAGCGTGGGATGAGCAGAGTGCGGGTGTTGGTGTCCTGGGCACCCCTTCCCAGCGAAGACCAGGCTCAGAGTTCCTTCCTTGTAATCAGACTTTGAAAGAATGTTCGTTTCATCATGATCTGTTCCACAATGGCCTTTTGCTATGTGCCTCCTGAGAAATTAGTCTCTTTTTGTATAAATAACAAAGTGTTGGAAATGTATTTCCTGAAATAAATGTTTCAAATGCAAACCCAGAACAATCCATGGTGGGAGTTTCTTCTCTGGCCTGGAAACGCAAGGCTCCTTTGCATTCAGGGTGGACTCAGGGTGGACGTGAGTGGCTGGGGGTGGACAGGAGGGTCAGACCTTGCTCTGCACTAACTGGAGGAGGCTCACAGCGCCACCCAGTGGACACTCTCGAGCTCACGAATAAATTAAGATTTGCTCCTCACTTCCCAATCTCAGTAGAATTTCTAAAACGCTTGTTGATTAAATGAGCCCCAAGCACGTAACTTGAGAACACAGAGAAACAGAACAAGTTCTTGAGAATTTGTGCCTCCAATGTAGTTCTTTAGGGTGAAAATAAGGGACTTTAGGGGACTCAAGGTTTCTGCTCAACTCCTGACCTCAGGGTTGGTGGTTCAAACCCACCCAGACATGTCACAGTAGAACAAGATGGTGGTCTGCTTCCATCAAGAAACAAAACTGCCAGGGAGCCCTAGTGGCCTAGTGGCAAGAAGCTGCACTGCAATCCCAGAAATATGTGGTTCGAATTCAGCAGAGCCTCTGGTGAAGGAGGGACAAGCTCCTCCTGTACCAGTCAGATCCGATTTGACCATACACACACACACAAAATAATAAAAGTTAAAAAAAGAAACAAAACTGCCGTGGACCCAGTTCCAACTTGCGATGTCTTCCCAGCATGGTTTTGAGACCTGGAGAATTGCCTGGCTTCTCCCCTCCAAGGCTGGTGGATTTGAACCCCTGACTTTTTCAATAGCAATGCAACAAAATGCATCACTGCCACCTTAGGATCAAAACCCCCCATGTGGTGCAGCCCTGCTCTCTAACACATGGGGCCCCCTGGGCGGAATCCAACAATAAGTGGGGAGGAGGTTGTTACTTTGTTTAATGTCAGCATGATTTTTGAGGATTAGGGTCATCAACCAGGGTTTTAGAAGCTCCCCTTTACTGAAATGATGAGAAAGCGAAGAACAAATCTTAATCTGTGCAAGGGGGTTAGAGTGTCCACTGGGAGGCGCTGTGAGCCTTCTCCAGTTCGTGCAGGCTTGCAAGTAAGTTGTTGTGGGCTGTTGGGCTGAGCTGGGTGGCCGCTTGGTCAAGAATGCTCTGAAATTGCTAATTGATGCTAAGCACTTTCCTACCAGCTGAATTCATTCAGAGAGAACGTGGCCCCAGTGGGTCTGGTTCTGGGAACTTAATTTATTTACAATCCACTTTAAGAGTCTAGGTGCAGGGGATTCTGGTCTGGAGTCAGCTTTGCCCAGAGGGAACCTCTGCCCCATCCCTGGTGCTGCTGCTGCCTTAAACTTAATCAGCACGGCTGCCCCAGTCATGTTCTCAATGCTGAACTCTGTGCCCTCCACCTGGGGCCTTGAGTAACCCCACATCATGCAGCCCCCTGAGCCACGAATACCTGTCCAGCCCACCTGTACCTCCCACCCAAGGACAGCCAAGAGCAAGCCGGCACTGGCGCTTCCAGTGAAGTCTGTGCTGGAGAATCAGGTGAACGGTGCCTGGGCTGCCTTGGCTGTGGAGTCCTGTAAATGCAGAACTGGAGGGGCTACGGTCGGGAAAGTCTGCTGACCACATGAGCCGGGCACCTCGGAGGACCCTCACTACCCTGACCTGGGCCCCTGAGCTCTGGCCCCAGGCTTGTCCAGCCCCAGGGCGTCTTTGGGCCACATGATGAGCCAACCTCAGAGGAACCTGCGATGAGCTGGGAGGCCTGGACTGGTGCAGTGTGGGGATGGGCCTGGGGAGCCTGCTGGGGAAGGCCAGAGACCCCAAGGAGTGGAGGATGGGGTCTTCTAGGCCACTCCCACCACCACCCTAGTCCCAGCTGTAAACCCCTGCCTGTGCTGTGCTGTCCCCACAGGGTCCAGCCTTAGAGAACAGAAGCTCCCCCTGCAATCCTGAAGGTGCACGGTTCGAATCCACCAGATGTTCTTCGGCAGAAGGAGAGGCAGTCTCCTCCTGTGCCAGTCAGATCTGACTTGATGGAACACAACAAAGAAAAAGAAAATAGAAGCGCCATTGGTCCTGGCCCTGTCTTCACCCGTGAGGGGGGTTCCCACCAGCTCCACATAATTCCCTGCCAGACTTCCACTGAGCTTTCTGTCAGTTCAAGACAGCCCTGAAAACGATGGAAGCTGAAGGGGTGTGTGTGTAATGAAGTTGGAGCTCTATAATTTAGCAATTACTGTAACCCACACTTGTAATTTAGGGGGTTTCTTATAATTCTCTTTGTATTCTCTCACACGTGCTCCCGCTCGCTCTCAGTGCAGCTTTAATGACTTCTTCTTTAGTGCTCCTGATGCTGGCTCTTGTCTCTTCCCAAGTCAGCTTCAGAGCCCACCGAAGTGGGCAAATGACACTTGTGCTGCTTTGCAGGGGTTAAAGAGGGTAATAGGTTTAACAGCTCCCTGTGAAGCCCCGTTTGTTTTGGCGACTGGGCATGCTGCTTTCACCCTGAGTTCACCCGCTGGCTTGCTCATCAATGCAGACGGCATCTGCTGGACAGTGTGCCTTCACCTGCCGGTCTGGAGCCCAGTCACACCAGTCTCCTTACAGTCTCTGCTTTGTGCCAGTGACGGCTTTGTCCCCGGATCTTTGTTCATGTTACCTGTTGGCTCACTTAAACAGTCTTTGAATTCCTTCCTAAACCATGGTCTTTCCAGTCACTTACTGAAGGAAGATTATGGCAGTTGCCCCACTACCCCCAAGCTTGACTACTTCCTGAGAAACTTAATAACACCTGAGCTGGTCACATCAAGGACCAGACCAGACAATGGATCCTGATAAGAGTCTGAGCTTGAGAAAAGAAAGAAAGAGAGAGAGAGAGAGAGAGAGAGAGAGAGAGAGAGAGAAAGAGAGAAAGAGAGAACAGAGAAAGAGAGAGAGAGAGAGAGAGAGAGAGAGAGAGAGAGAGAGAGAGAGAGAGATAGGAGCGAGGAGGCGAGAGCAGCGGGGAGAGGAGAGAGGGAGAGCGTTAGGAAGGAGGCAAAGGTGACGTTTGTGATGTGCTCATGAACAGTAGACTCAAGATGCACAGATGGAATAAGCCTGGACGGCTGAGACTCTTGGCAGTCACCATGACGGGGACTTTATTGAAATTCATT